TTAAATTTCATCAAGTGCTTTAGTAACGATCATCTAAACTCAATTATTATCAAAATCTTTTCCAGTATATTCTCTCCGTGATCCTCTATAAAATCCGTCCGATTTGATATAGATGAAATAAAGGGAGGAATCCGAGGTTAAAATCGCAGTTACACTTGTCGTGCTTTTATCTGCGGAGTCATCGGGTATATTTGGGCCGCGAGCGTCGCGTCGCCTGCTTTGTCTCTCCTATCTCATCGCGTATTCCTTTCCTCACGTTCGGCTTCTTCGTAGAAAAAGACGCGATAACGCATACGTGTACGTTTATAGCTTCGGTCTCTTTTTATTCGCCCCGGCCGAATGTCGTACTCTCTCTCTCTCCCTCTCACGCAGAGCTCCCCGTTGCTCAACTCGCGCGATCGAACGGTCAGTACACACTCATGTAAAACGCGATATGTAAACCGTCGACTCTATTGTTCCACCGTATCGCGCGTGTTTCCCTTTAAGGACGCGCCAAGTTGACATGCGCGGCTCGGGACCCTTCCTCCCTTCGTTCTTTGTTTGGGTCGCCCTATAACCGACTCGCGCTCTCCCTTCGCGTCACGAACCGCCGCGCCGAGAAATCCCAAGACCCCCCTCCCTCCCCTCCATCCTACTCCTCCACGAAACCTCATATACCGACTAACCCACTTGTCCCCCTCTCCCCCTGCCCTCCTCTATTCTCGCCCAAAAAAATAACCCGCGCCATGCCAACGACGCGACGCGACGCGACGACGTGGCCATGCCGCTTGGAAGCGACGTTGCAAAATATACTCGTTCGTGCACCGAGTTTCCCTCCAAAAATATTACTTCCTGAAATTCGAAAGAGATCGGCGTAAAATCGTCTCGGGCGTCAAACGAGAATTAGATTCAGCGCGATTCGATTCCGCGAACGAGGCGGAATAACCGAGCAGCGTGGACAAAGGTAAAGAATTCGGCGGTCTCGTATTTATATCCATCGATCTCCTATTTCCTCTTTCGATCCTTTTCTTTTTCGCTTAAATAAGGAAAAATCGCGGATGCGATTACTGGATCTTATATCTGTACTGTTACATATATGCAAGTACACTATTAATACTGCTGAAAGTAAAAATTGCGTTTCCTGCTATGATTAATCGATCAACTGATGGTTTTATAGCAGTAACTTTAAAAGTTATTCTAGTGATAACTTTATTACAAATTGTTACAAAACTATCAGTTTGGTAATCAATCGCGTAGCTAGAAAAATACATTTTTTCCCCCTTTTTCGGTTGTGTAAGGAGAAATTGCGGATATGATTATAATTACTTCATTTTATGTCTATATATATATATATATATATATATATACATATATATAGTACTGTTTTATACATCTTATATGCACCATTAATACTAGAAGTATCAACATTTCTTACTCACTTGGGCCTGATTTCCATTACTAGTAATTTTTTCTTCTGGTATTAACTTGTCGTTTAGATTTAATCTCTCTCACTTGACTCGATGTAAAAATTGTGTTCTAGCTATGATGATTAATTACTGAACTGATGATTTTATAGTGGTAACTTTGCAAGTTAAAACTGATTTAGTAACGATTAACCAGTGCCAGAAGAAGAAATTCAAGTTTGATATTAAATATCATAAATATTTATGTTGAGTTTATTTTCACGTTAATTAAGTATAACCATAAGTTTAATAAAAAAATACAAAACTGTGTCTAAAGGCACGAAGCAAATTACCATGAAAATAAAGAAAAGAGAATGATGGACAACCGAGATGAATTAAAAACGAACGAGCCAGAAAATTCTTATCAGAATTCTGATTCTCTCAACTAGAATTGCGATAAATTCTGATTGATCAATTTTCAACTAGAATTGTAGAATTCCAATTAATCAGATCGACTATTCCAGTATGTGAATACACTGAAGAGAGAAAAAAAAATTTCCATTCATTTAATATTAATCTAAAAACTAGAAACGATGAATAATAATCGCTTCGGTTTCTAGTGTTAACGGACCGACTGCGTCAATGAACGGACAACGAGGTGGAGAAGCTAGAAGGTTGTCGAGCGAGAGATGATTATGCGGAACGCGTTTGTTTCGTCATCCTGTTATTTCGGACGCTAACCGCACACGTCTCTGCGTTTTTACTTTATTATGCCCGCTGATGCATTGCATAATTTCGCAGCGCGGCGCCATCCAGACCAGACCTCAGCTATTCTTCCAGGTTTCCGCTTTTAGAGATAACGAAGACACGACGAGGTATAATTAGCGACCGGCTCGCTCGGATTAACAATCGGCCGAAGGAGTAAGAAAACCCACGGGAAAGTAAACAGAAAAGCGAACGCGTATCGGAACAAACCGCGCTCATCGCTCGCGACGACACGCGTAAACCAAGTGGGAACCAGAAATCTACTCGGTCTGTCGCTTTTCCCCCCCTCAACAGCCGAAGTTGAACGTGACAGCCGCAACGTCGAAACGCGTAGAATGCGGAGAGACGACACCACGACGGTGGCGTAACAGGAAAAAATCGATGTATACGCGCTTCGATAATGCTCGTCGATAAGCGCTTGAACAGAAGCTCGCTTGCACGTTGCGATTCCACCGCAGCGTGACGAAACCCGTTCCCGTAAACGTTGCACGAATCGGAATTCCGTCACCGAGAAAATCGACGAGCGCGTCGCTGGTTATTATCATTACCTTCCAAGTTAACGCGAAATTAACGCCCTTACAGGAATTCAATATCGGCCAATTTACCAATACTGACAGGTAGTGATTAATTACTTGTTTTCAGTATCAAAAGCACCGAACAAGTACTTTCGATACTCAAAATAAGTATAGTGTAATTATTACCTTTCAGTATTAAGGTTGTATCAGGTGTAGAGTTTCTGCAAAAAGCGACTGCAACTGGAAATTTATACTTTCTGCGTGAAATCGAATGTTATTATATACAATACAGAGTTAACTGAAATTTTTTTAAAATACGTTTTTAATGCTTCATATGTGCTTTAAACAATGTTGCAAAAACATGATATTTTATCAATCTTGGTTTATATACACATGAAACAGAAGAGAAGAGAGTCCAATAAAAGATCAATATTTATATTTAATAATACACAATTTTACAGTTTAAATAAAAATTTCTTATTTTATACCATAAAATTACTTTTTAAAAGTACGTCAATTTTTTATATTAAAATAATTTCTTATTAAAGTTCTGCCAAACTTTTGTGCATTGCTTTCACAAGTACAGAAAAATCTGTAATTTATTTTATTTTGTTAAAAGAATACGTGTATTATAATGCACCCTTAAATTTACGATTACACGCTAAATTCCTGCTCATTAACCATTACTCTCAACAAAGAATAACTACAATCTCTCGATTTAATTTCTTATTTTTTTTTAGTCCTGAGAACCAAAAAGAGATAAAGCCTACATATAGAGAAAAAACATTCTTCATTCAACTAAACTTATTTCGTCTTTATTTATTTCGTTGAAAAATGCATGTATTTGAAAATATATGTTTGACTTAAATAATGTGTTTTTAAACGCATACGTTTTTAATGTTCATACGTTTTAAACATATGTTATAAAAAAAACATGTTAAAAATATCGATTGAGCGTGTTTCGAACAATTTAAAACACGATTTTTACCAACTCTAACTTTATATAAAGCAGCGTTTAAATATATTAATGTAATAACAGTGTAGTATATGAGCGACTGAATTTACCGTAATTATTATTTGCGTACAGTAGGTATTTTTCTGCGTGCATAAAAACGAGCATAAGTGGCCGTGTTCAATTAACCAGTCGACGCGCGACTACATGACGGTATATAATGCCGGTTCGAGAAAGTTCTCTCTTTCCGTCGCCCCCTCCGCGGTCGATCCCGTATTCATTCGGTATTCGCGACGCGGATTTTCCGCGACGAGAAGCAAATCGTTGAAACGAGCGTTTCGTCGCATTCTCTCGTCGCGGTTTTCCTCTTCCTGTCAACGACTCGACTCGAGCGTTCAAACCCCGTCAATCGTTCCTTTCCTTCCATCCGCCTCTCTCCCTCCACCCCGTCGTTTCCACCCCACCGTCTTGCCCCGCGACAACGGTGAAAACGCAAATTGCGAAAGAGCGTTCGCCCCGGCGTTCACCCGTTACCGGGTCGTTACATTACACATCGACCGGCAAAAATGGCCGCCGCCGCCGTGCCGGCCGCTGCCGACTCCGAGAAGTTAGCCGGGTGTTTGTAAAAACGAATATCGGTAGGTGCGTTCGGGGAGGTGCTATTAGCGCTACTTGTGTCGCTCTATTCTTATTTTACACCTAATAAACAACAAAGATAGAATGATAGCGCTAACAGCGTCCCCCCGAACGCATCATACGACAGTCTCCCGTGACTCGCGGCCGATTTCTTGAAAAGGAGGGTTGCGAATTAGAGATTACAATTCGATCAGATAATTTTTGTTGTAATCCATCTCGTTCTGATTGGCTGAATCGTAATCTTCAATTCGTAATTCCTCAAATGTGAACATTTAACGAATTTTATGAAACACAAACGTCGTTCTTGGCATTCAATGAGTAACACAAAAGGTCTGTGCTTGCACTTTTTGTAATCGGCACTTCGCGCTATGTCTCTCTCTCTCTCTCTCTCTCTCTCTTTTTCGACGTGCGAACATATTTATTTCGTGCAAAGGATTTTTGTAGATTTCACGCAGTGCAGGCAAGCCTAAAGCTAGAATCACAGAACGACACATGTGTCTGAATGTATCTCTTAAAGAGAAAGTAGTCTATGTGACAAATATAGTATTTTTATACGCGATATTTTATATTTTTCAAGAACAAGACTTCTGAACCTTTGTAGAATTCGGAAATCCTCTGGCGGAGTCATTGGAAATATTAAAAGAAAATTAGAATGAGATAAATTTTGAACACTGCTCCAACAAAATTTAAATTTCTGCTCGAACGAAAGTTCGTTAACATTAAGACGTGGGATAGTGTAATTTTACTCACCTCGTCCTCCGGCCTCTTGAGTGCCGTCTTCTCGTTCCTCCAGAATTTTCTCCACCATATTTCCTCTCTCGCGTACTCTCGTCGCCTTTACGGAACGATCGTCCGGGAAAGATCGGAGGATCTTCTGATTCACCGCTGCCGAGAGATCTTGTCCGAGCGCGTGTTCTCCGCTCCTCGCGCACCGATAGTAATAATTATAAAAAAGAGTCAGTCGTATATACAAAAAACCCTATCCACTAAGAAACTGATATAATCTCTCTTCGGAGCGACGTTTCTCTCTCTCTCTCTCTCTCTCCCTCTTACTCTCTCTGGATCTCACGTCTCTCGGCTCTCTCTCTCTCTCTCTCTTTCGCTCCTCTTCGATTCCTTTTTTTCGCGAAGAAGGTCGATGTATATCAGCGTCGATATCACAGATGTAAATAAATATATAAAGCCTATCCCTCTATCTCTCTCTCTCTTTCTTCTCGCTAATATGTATATATATATATATATATATATCCTTCACAATTGCTCGTCCTCTTTTCTCGCGAAGATGACACGTCCACAGGTGCTACTGATAACGATGTTGTTTTTCAATAAATACTATCACAGACTTTGACACTGCACTTTCTCTCAGTCGGTCATCCTCCGCTCTCACTCTCTCTCTCTCTCTTTCTCTCTCGCCCTCGGCGTCGATCTTGTTCGCCGGTGTGTCTTCCTCTTCTCGCAACCGCGAGCAGCCAAGCCCTTCCGCCGATGAGAAGCTATAAGCTCGTTGCTGTCAGCCTCTCGCCAGAACCTTCTCCGCGACCTGCTCTTCGTTGCTGCTGCTGCTGCTGTTGCCGCCTCCTCCTCCACCTCCTCCTCCGCCGCCGCCGCTTCCTCCGCCTCTCTCCGCTCCTCCGCAGCTCTCACCCAGCCGAAGGTTTTTAACCGGATGCACCGGACCTTTTCGCACGCGAAAGCCCCGCGATGGTCGTCGTGGCTCCGTCGTCGCTATCGCACAGCCTCTCGCACGTAGCGGCAATCGGGCTCGGAAGCGCATTAAAAATCCCTCGTCTAACACATCTGGCCTCTCTTCCACATCACCGTCCCTCACTGCTCGGCAGTTGGTTTCCGACTGAGCTCGACAAGATGGCCGGCTCCTGCTTACTAACACTCCACCGCCCGTCTCACCCCCCAACCCACCGCGAATCCGATATCAATCTATCTCTCTCCCTC